CGCCCAGCGCTCAGGGAAGGAGATCATCTTCCTCTGCCAAAACTTGGAGCAGAAGAATCCACTCACTGGTGATTTCTCCTGCCCCTCTGGCTACTCCTCGGTCCACCTGCTCTCTCAGATCCACGAGGAGGGTTACAACCACCTGGAGTGTCAACGGAAGTGTTCCCTTCTTATCTTCTGCAAGACGGTATGCGAAGATGTGTTCCGGGTGGCAAAGGCTGAATTTAGGGCTTTCTGGTGTGTGGCTAGTGGCCAAGTACCTGAAAACTCAGGACTCCTTTTTGGGGGCCTCTTCAGCAGTAAGAGCATAAACCCTATGACAAATGCACAGTCGTGCCCAGCTGGCTATTTTCCACTGAGCCTCTTTGAAAGCCTCAAGGTATGTGTTTCTCAGGACTTTGAGTTGGGATACAAGTTTCTGGTCCCCTTTGGTGGGTTTTTCAGCTGCACAGTTGGGAATCCCTTGGTGGATTCTGGTATATCCAAAGATTTAGGGGCACTTTCTTTGAAAAAATGTCCCAGGGGCTTCAGTCAACACCTAGCCCTCATCAGTGATGGATGCCAAGTGTCTTACTGCGTCAAGGCTGGGCTCTTTACAGGAGGGTCCCTGCCCCCTGCCAGACTCCCGCCTTACACTCGGCCACCCCTCATGAGTCAGGCTGCCACCAACACCGTCATAGTGACCAACACTGAGAGTGCCAACTCCTGGATCAAAGACTCACAGACACATCAGTGGAGGCTGGGAGAGCCATCGGAGCTACGCAGGGCCATGAAGGTCATCCATGGTAATGAGAGTGGCCTTTCAGGTGGGGCAGCAGCTGGGGTCACAGTGGCCGTCACCACTGTCCTGGCAGCTCTCATCGCCCTGACCATCTATGGCTCCCGGAAGTACAAGAAGAAAGAGTACCAGGCCATCGAGGGTGAGAGGCAGAGTCTGGTTCCAGACACTCCAGAGACTGGAGATACCCCTGACAGAGAACAGGAGCCATGTCCAGCTTAGATTTCTCCTGGGGAATGGTTACTCTCATGCCTGACGAGAGCTTGAAGCATCTCTTCTATTACTTCCCTCTCCTCTCTGCCTTTTTAAGTATTGAAGTGGTGAATGCAACAAAAAGTAGGTATAACTTTGTGACTTCTTGTTTATGGGTTGGTGCTAGGCAATTAACGGAACTACATTTATAAGAGCAGGGATGGGGAGCAGGAACTGCCTTGCCTCTGCGAGTGAAAGCTAGCCTGGGGACTAAAGCACGGAGGGGGTATCTTTTTTCTACGTGTGTCACTAATTGTCTTTATCTGAATGCTTTTGTGTAAAAAGGAAGGGGGGAGAAAGTTGACACTTGGATTTGGAAGATGCACTTAATCGGAAGTCCAGTAGTTTCCTATCTGTAGGTTGCAAGAAACGCTGCTTCTAAGTGTTACCCTCCCTCTACTTCGTTTTGCGAAAAGATGTCTGCTAAAGGTTGACAGGTCCCTGAAAGACACAGAAGTCCTGCTCGGCCACCGCTTCTTAGTGTTGAGAGCTCCATGTCAGAGGACTCGGTCCCCACCTCTGAGTCATTTCAACAGTGTCTCTAAAGATGTTGACCTCTACCAATCCCATCTTTCCCACTGTTCCACAGTTAAGACTTAGAACAGACTATTCTTGGACTCACTAGTGTCATCGAGTAGGCAGAAAATATTTTAACTTATAAACTTCTACAACAGGAGGTCCAAAGGGAAGGGGTGATTTGAAGATGAGTAAGAAAAGAAAAAACTGGAAAAGATTCTGGTGCTCAGGGGAAATAGGGATTCTTGTCTACAATCAATGACCTAATTTCTTCCTCTTAGCTCAGCAATAAATGGGTACCTAAGATTTGGACAGATTAAGAAATACAGTTTTATATTCTGTGTTATCAAAGAACAACTGCTTCATCCTCAAATGTGTCTGTAGATGGTCCTTAACTTTGCCTCCCTCCCATCACATGCACATGTCTACACACACACACACACACACACACACACCCCATTCCAACAAGAAGTCTGCATTTTTCTGGAGGTGAAAAAAGTAAGAAATAAAGTAAGCTCATATCTAAATATTACTCCCTCCCTAAAACTAAAGCAGAGTAGAAGTCACCAATTATGTACTATCTTTTTTTTTTTTTTTTTTTTTTTTTTTTT